TTAATTTGTACCAATCAATTCATTATACATACATTCCGATAGCATTATTCCACATAATTTTATATGATGAAAGTGTAAATGTATCAAGATTAACAACATAAACATTTCCACAATAAGTACCAACTAAAAGCCATTTTGAATTAAAAGCAAGTGGTAGTAAACAACGACTTATTCTTAAAAAATAAAAATTAAATGAGTTAATCATATTAAATAATTATCAAATTATATTTTTCTTTTTCTTTATCTCACTAATTATGCTTTTATCATTTGTAGAAATATAAAAAAAAACGAAATGAAAGATATTTTTAAGATGATTTCATGATTCTTTTCATCAAGAAAGAAAGAAAAAAAAACTAATTTCCTTTTAACTAACAGGAAATATTAAGAGGATGAATCAATATCTCATGAGATTTCATCACAAATTCATAGTTTTAACTTACTTTTCTTTAACAAATCGAAGTGAATTAGCAATAACTGGTTTCTTTTGACGTAAATTCCATAAATGTATATAATTGTCTCTACAAGCACTTATCAATGCACCCTTTTAGTAAAAAAAAAAACAATTAAATTTTATTTTACTAAAATTAATCAAACAAAAAGAAAGATTTTACTTCATTTATACGAAAAACTAATTGAACAATTTCAACTTCACTTGGATGCTGTAATGAACATTCAACAAATGCACCACCATAACTAATAATTTGAAAATTTTTCTTTATTACTTTCTTAACATAGATATTTAAACTTACATTTTAATAAGACCATGTTTTGTACCAATAGCAAGAATTTTTTGCACAGGATCATAAGCTACTGTTGTCGGTCGATATGGAAAACCATATCGAACCATCTAATATATCAAATAAATGATTTTTTTTTTTAATCAATTATAATAAAAATAATGTCTTACTTCACTTAATGAAAAATCATCTTTTTTTAATGTTTCATTGATTTCTATTTCACTTATTTTTTTTGAATCACCTAATTTAAATGGTAATTTAATTCGACTTGACATTATGCTAGAATTTTTTTTTCTCTCGTATACGCTATGTGGTTGAGAAATCACATGTATAGAATAATAAGTTACATCTAGAAATGAATGAATATTTAGTGTTAATGTGTACTCATCCATATAAACCATATGAAATTGAATTTATTTTTCGAATTCTTTTAGTTTTTTTCTATTCTTCTAGTTTTCCGATCAAATTTGTCGCCTTATACCCGATCTGATTGCACGATCAAAAATAAATAATAAATAGTAAATAATAATTGACAAGTTCTTCTATTTTGAACTAATAATAAAACAGTTCTAGATAGAGTGCGCAAGTTGACAGTTGATAAATAAATATAACTAATTGATTATTTAATCAAATATAATTATATGTCTTTCAAAAAATATAAACTAGCTTAATTTATAAAAAATAAAAAAGAATATTATTTTATTTTCATTAAATTTCATTTGTTCTGTAAAAGAAATTCTTCAACACATTTATAGCAATCATTGTAATCAGCTTATAACATATCCAATCTTAGAAACTGAAACATATCGACAGCTATTAAACAAAAGCTTTGTCTCATCTTTTTTTTTTAAGTACAAATATTTTCTATATAGCAATGCATCCTTGCAAAAAAAAAAAAATAAACGTACTTATCAATGATGAAATTCTTACGATTATTATTTATATGTTTCTGTCAAAATCATGTTCTATAATTATAAATAATAATGAACTTATTCGATAGAAAAATATATTAATTAGCGTTAATAAATACTTTATAAAAGTCTAGATTTAAATTAATCCAATAAGAAAAAATAAAACTAATGATTGAATTCTATAAAAGAACAAAAAAAAAACGATTGATTTCGTGCTCACATAGTATATGCACTTAATTGAATTTTATATATTTATCTTACATTTTTTTCGCACTAATAATCATTTTTCATTATCAGAACAAAAATTAATCATGTTTTTTTTGTATTAATAAGAAAACAACACTTTCTTGTAATTTGAATCGTGCTGCCGAACATATGTGTTTCTTGATCGAATGAGAAACGCAAAAAGAAACACTCTTTGTCTTGTCTACATACAAAATCTTTTTTTTTGGTTATACTAGAAAAAATAGGATAGAAGAAAAGAATATTCCAGATTTTGTTTATTTACACCAAAGAAAACAATATAGATATGTAGGATAACTCAATATATATATATGCATATATTTAACATTCTTTTATTTCTTGTTTAATTGATAAATTTTTTTTTCTACATTTTTCTAATTGATATTGATTATTAGTTTCATAACTACTTATTGAACGTTTTAATGATGTTGATTTAATACTAATTTTATTATTACTTGTCGAACGGAGTTCATTAGAAAATGCTGCCTAATAAAAAAAAAGGAAAGAACAAATTAAATAATCAAAAATCCAAGAATCGTCTAATGAGGAAAGTCTGGCAACTGATTAATCATTATTGAGTCAAAATCATATGTATCATGCAGGTATTAATAAGTTATGAATACTGTGAAAAAAGCTTAAGCCCTTAGCTTATTGCTACGAAGTAATTGCATTTTGACGGTATTTTTTAAGTCAATGCCATAGTTTCCCTAAGGAACATCATAAAAACTGATTTTCGAATAATATGAAAGTTTTAGATCTTTTTATTTTTCCTATCCTAAGATGCGGCTATGATAAAAGCAGGTCTTATATATGCCTCATATACATCGACAGATTCAATTTTCTTCTTTTAGAATAGAAGAAAGCCAACAGATCTAAAATTTTTACAATAAACTATTCCTGCTAAGAATTTTTCTCTTTGCAACGTGTCAGTTCGAAAATCAGTTTTCATACTGTTTCTCATGAGACCCACGATATTGACTTCACAAAGTACTACCAAAATGCAATATCTATGCAGCAATACACTAAGGACACCGAGCTCTATTCAGAATATTTATCACTTATTAATGTCTGGAAAATGTACATTGTTCCTATTCAACAGCTACCAATCAATGGAGAGATTCGAGTCATAAGGTTAAAAAGAACTTACAGCTTGTGCCCAACCAGCAAATGGTTTCCAAAGTTGTTCAAAAAATGAAGATATATCATTATAATTACTTGTAGTTAATTGCAAATTTTTTCTTTGTCCATAATATGCTACTGCTATTGAATGTATATGAGTATCAACAGGTACAACATCTTGTTTTCCAAGTGACATTAATAGAACACAATCTGCAACCTAAATATTTATTAAATGACAAAGTTTTTTTTTGTTTTTTTTTGAATACATTTTCTTACTTTTCTGCCAACACCCATAATTTTTAATAATTGACTACGAGCTTCTTCAACTGATAAAGATTTTAATCGATCAAAAAATAATAAATCATTAATAGTATATTTAAGATATTTAATTGTTTCTTGAATATATCGTGCACGATAACCAAAATTTAATTCACGTAAACGTTGTTCAAGATTTGGTTTATCAAGTTCATCTGAAAAACTTCAAAAGAAATAGAATCTTTGTTTTTTTATAATTAAATTACCTATTGTTGGAAATTCATGATAAGTTATACCGTTCAATGTACCAATTTGTTTTCCATATTCCTCACAAAGTAATTTAATCATTTTTGTTATACGTTGTACATTATTATTACTTGAACATATAAATGATATTAAATTTTCTAGAGGATCTTGTGCTAAAACACGTATACCAATTGGTATTAATCGATTTTGAAATCTTTCATCAGATTTACACCATATTTGAAATAGATCATGAAGTTTTATAGATAATTGAAAATAATTATGTAAGATAAGAGATGTTTCATTTTGAGTATTATTTTCATTTGATAAATTTAAACGATTCTTATTTGAAATATTAGTATAAAATGTATAATGAAGATTTTCATCTATATGTTGTAAACGGATGATATATGAACCAAGAACACCGATAAATTCATTTGATATTTGTTCTATCCATCTATTAAATATGAAAATAAAATGAAATATTTAAGAAAAATTTACCGAAATGATTGTCCACCAAGTAGTGTTTGTTTTAAATTCAGTTCGGTAGAAGATATTGGAATTGAACCTGAACAATAATGAATAAGATTATCAGAAAGTATCGAAGTTGATGGTGATGGTGTTAAAGAACTCATCGAAAAAATATGAAATCTAGAATTAAATAAACATCATATATTTTAAAGAAAGTTCATATATTATTATTTTGTTTAATTCATCCGAATGTTTGTGTTTGTCGTAATAAATAACTGAACAGAATTTGAGTAGAAAAGCAATGAATTTTTAAAGAAATTCTTGAATATAGAAACTACGATATAATGAGAACTTTTTTGTCTATTGGAAATTAGCCAACAAAAATAGAAAGAAAAATCTCTTTCTACAAATAAAAACAAAATAGATTAAAACTATTTCATTTGTCTTTTTTTTCCTATTGGAAATGTTTATTTCTTATACAAAATTTAACTTTAAACTGTTTAGACTTTTCACTATATTCGAATAATTTTTAAAGATGAACATTATAACATTTCATTATGAATCTTCATTATCAAATGAAATATCTCAATTTTAAAAAAGCATAATTTATATAAAACCGATTATTATCAATGTTTTCAAATTAACAGGTAATATCGAAATAACTAGATGAATATTTTCGTTGAATTCAAATGATATATCTATTATAGCATCATTATCAACATAATTGAAAACAACTAAAACTTTCATGATTTAACTAAAGTCAATCTTTTATTAAAATATTAAATATTAACTCCATTCTAATATTCTTCTTGCTCTCTATACAAATATTTATTAGAAGTAATCATGACCAGAGAGACAAAGAAAAAAAAGAATTAATCATCTATTTACAATAACATTTACAACAACAGAGAAAAACAGAAGTCAGTTAATATCAATTATATCAAGAAAGAAAAAGAAATAGATGAACTCGATTTAATTTGAGAAGTTTTATTTTTTTGTAAATAGATTAACAAATAATAACTTATGTTGTATGTGTTGCATATGCAGCAACAACAGTTTTGTCTGTTTGTTGGATAAGTACCTGCCTATAATGAAAGATAAATAAATATAATAAGTACATATATTTTTCATACGCTTCATTATGTTCAAGACAAATAGTCGTTCGTCGGCCTGATAATGATTCTGCAAATTCAGCTAATAATGCTATCGGTCCAGGAGATATTGAAACATCTTTACCTGTTTTTTTTAATATTAAAATCAAAAATAAACAAGAATATTTAAACAAGTAAATCAATATTAACTTGCTAATGGTAATCCATTTTTATCACAAACAAGAATACCTTTGATTTCAACACCAAACACAATAAATTTTTCTATCCTAAAATTAAAGAATAATATATAAATTTTACATTTAAAGGGTGTTCCGTAAGTTTCAGCTTCACTTTTTTTGTTATCTTTGCAACTTATAAATATGTGTAGGCGTTGGCGATATATTTTTGAAGAGTAGCATCTAAGCTATCATCCAAGATAAATTGCACTCAATTTGCATCAATTCTAATAAAGTGCTGCACTAGTCTAAGTATTGACAAAAGTATTATCTTTTTCTTTTTACCTTTCATATCAATATTTTTTTAATATGAAAGACATTTGTAATGAAAATCTGTATTGAAAATATCAAAGTATTACAAGTGAATTAGTTTGATCATCATTTATTATATGGAAAGATAAGATTATAATTACAGTTTAAAAATAACAACCAATCGCTCATTCACTACAAGTCACTTTCATTGTTCAGCTATTGTAGCACGCTATTAACCATGTGAGAGATAATTTGAACATCCATTTTTCTCGTGTCAAAAAAGATTCAATTAAACCTTTTCAGGTCGCAGTGACATTCAGTAAACTAACGAACTACTATTATTCGCTTCATGTTAATCTTCCATGCATGTAATTCCTTGTGACATATATCGATTAAACATATAGCCTCTAAACCTTTGTCTCTCTAGTTCGAGCATGATATTATGGCACTGTTATCTTCTATATATTCGCAAAAATATTTTTTTCTTTACTTGAATAGTGTACTTCAAAAACAGCACAACAAAAGTAACTCACAGTAAGGGAGTGACTGCTGTTTTTCCCTAACCGTGACAAAGAAAAACTAAAAAAAAAGAACTTCATAACTTTTTTTCAACATTTTTACTAATAGAGCAGTTAGCGTTAGTGTAAATTGAGTGGAATTTTTATTGAATGATGGATTAGTTATCACTCTTCGAAAAATATATCATCAATACCGATTCATATTGAAACATGGCAAAGATAAAAAAGACAACGATACTTATTGAACACCCATTCTGTCTTTAAGCTTCCTCCCTCCCGCAAAAAAAGTCGATTTTCGTGAAAAAATTCCGAAATTGTGATGAATGCATGGGAGGATAGTCCATGATCTGATCGTTCATGAACGATACAAATTTTAGCTCAGCACCTCGTCTTTTCCAAAAGTTTCTGAAAAAACCGAAAATCTTTTTCGTTTTTTCATAGTTTTCATTTTCTCGATCCCACATCCAAAATTTCTGTCCAGGTTCATTCAATACATCAACTTTTTTGATTGTTTGAAAGAGCATTTCAAGATGAAGGACATGATGAGGCCGGATTTTTAAATTAAACACTTTTTTTATTATATAGACAGGCACTTATATAATTTGGTGACCTTTTTTCGAGTGCTTTTTCAGTCATTGAACTTGTAATCCCTTTTTTGGACTTGAAAAGTGAGTATTTAAAAAAAGGTTTTCGTCGCGCCCTCCATATTGAGACGCTCTTTCAAACGAAAAAAAAAACTTAATATATTGAACGAACCTGGACAGAGAAATTTGGGTTGCCAAATGAGCTATTTTTGACTCTTGTTTGGTCAATAGCTCCCTCAAACATAATGATTTAGAGCTGAAAATTTTATCGTAGCTTCCTCATTCCAGCCCCAACATATCCTCCAAATATCAGCTCATTTGAACGCTCCTAAGACGAGATCGATTTTTGAGGAGGGGGAGATGGTTAAATAATCATATACATACGCATTATCAATTAAGGTGTCGAATTTCTTGTCCATAATTTATCTAATTAAAAAAACAGAAAATTAGAAAAAAAAAATGTTTGTTTTCTTTTCAGGAAGTAAAATCACAAACACATGTTGTTGTTTTTTTATTTCTACAAAAATCTTATTGTTGTGAATGTGACAAAATAAACGAGAGAGAAAGAGAAAGAAGGAAGTCTAAGAACTAAGGATATCATATTTAAATCAAACCAAATCATTTATTTATTCTTCATTATTAGCAATTTCTTTATGAGTTGGATCATTTTTAGCGGCTTCTTCTTTACGTAATCGTCGTCGACGTAAACGTAATTCTCGTTCATATTCTTTAGCATCATCAAGTTTACTAAAAACAAAAATTCTTATTGTAATAATATCAATAAACTTTAGACTAACTTGTTTATTTCACATTTTTCCCATGCATGTCGTTCAGGCTCACAATAAGCATATTGTGATGGCCAATATTGTTGTGTGCAAAGCATTACAGCACGAAAATAATGTGCACAATAGTCACGTTTATCATGAGGAATATTTAAAATTTGCATTTCTTCTTCAGTATACGGTGCAACTAGAATAAGAATAAGACTTAGATAAGAAATTAAGACGAAAATTATTTTTTTCAAAACAGACATCATCTTCGATCAGGTATTACAAGAAGATAAAGTAAGTTAATGATCACTGGCATTTAACTACCGATACTACAGTCATATGATATTGTAATCGTTGGTTTTTCTCTCTGATTAAATAGAAAACCATAATGAACTAAAACGATTACAATGATTAGAGATGCATTTTCAAGGTTCATTATTACTTTCAAGGAAACGGATGAGTATTTAATAAATCTATGGTGCCGATAGAGGTTTTCCATCATTTAGGTTCCTGAACAATAAAATAGCAAATGACATTAAAACATTGATTACTTCCAAATCTATTCATTTGAAAGTGTTACACACTAAATCAAAGTAATTTTTCGGAAAACTACTGTCACTTAATTCAGTTAAAACTATAAATGTTTTAAATCGACTATCGAAAACACGCAGCCAATCAATAGAATAAAGTTCACGCATATGTAAAAAAGAACATCATTTTATGCATATAGGTTACTGGACATCATCACAAATGATCTTCTCTATAACTTGTATGACGATATGAAAAATTCAATAGCAATAGATATATATGTATGGCGGTCAAAATTAAAATTTCGATTTGACTAGACAAAATTGAACTTTTTTCTTTGTTGATGAACAAGAAAAGGTAAAAAGCAAACAAACTGTTTTGATTCCAGAAAATTGATTACCAAATATTATGTGAGGATGTGAGTAAAATAGGAACCTCAGTCATATGCAAAACCAAACAGCTGCACATCAATAAACTTCAATTTTGACGAAAAATATATGCATAAAATATAAGCTACTTTTGTTGCGCTACTGATAGAAAAAATGATCCGATTTATCTCAATGATGTGTGATAGATCAAAGATGGAGCCGGTCTAGATTTTTCATTACCAATACTGGTTAGACCGGTCATCAATATACCAGTTGGTCTAAAATTCATACCAACACTAAACTGACAAGTTGTTATACTATTCCATCTGTGGATAGTAATATTTGACGTAGTCACCCCTCAAATAAGTTTCATTACATGTCCTCTATAAGATAATAAGAGACAAAAAAAAATAAATAAGACACTGATCTACCGGTCCATTCAGTCTTTGTGATAAATACTCGTCACTTTACATCTTCTTAGCATTTCAATACAGCTATATTATTTGTCAGTAATTATCTCTTACTGGTAAGTACTGACATGAAAAAAAATCATTGACGAGGATGACAAGTCTATGCAGTACTCTGTCTAATTGCAAGGTAAGGGTTGAATAAATTGACTTTTTTATAGTATCCGAAATTAAGCTACATATCGTTCGATCATAGTCAATAAAAATTCGATAGTATTAAGCGAAAAAAAATAATCAATATGAAATTCTGGACCTTTCCGTAACCATCTATTTATCTTTTTTTGCACTTACTTTTTGGTTTGCGACCATCAGGAAAACCATACATCTTAACAAAAATATTCATAGAATCAAATAATCTCATAAATTTCTATCATACCGGATCAAACGTCGGACCTTTTGCTTTATCCGGGTACTGTTCGGGATGTCGAGCACGGTCAATCGCACCACTTATGTTAAGACCCATTCTATTTCTTTTCCTTTTAAATCTATTAATAAAAAAAGAAAGAATGATACAAATAAAAATCAATGGCTATCTAGAATAAGAAAACAAACACGTCAGATAACATTTTATTTTCTAAATAAGAAAGGAGAGAAAAAAATAAATGATTATAATTACAAAACGAAAAAAACAACCCAAAGTTTTTTTCTTTTAGAAAAATGAGCCATAAATTTGTAATGCTAGTTTTGGATTATGTTTTTCTAAATGAGTAAATGCTGGCGTTTTTAATAAATCTGAATATTTATGAAATAGACCAAAGCATTTTTCACGTAATTCATCACAACCGTCATATGTATCTAATAAATTTAAATATGAAAAAACGTTATCTTTATTAATATGATTTCTTAATAATTCAATAAGGCATTGACGTTTAAGTGAATCAATTAAAAATCGATCAGATAATTTAAATAATTCAATTAATAACGACTCATCATGAATAGCATGTTCAATACGATTTGTATAAAGATATTTAAGTAAAATATCAAATGCATTTACATCAATATCATCACTTAATTTTAATTGATTATTTGTACAATCATTAAAATGACTTCCAAACAATGTTTTAAAATAATCCGAACGTAATATAAGTATATGTCGATGTGCATGAAATATATGTGTACCTATTTCAATTTTTAAATCATATGGAATTGTATTATGAAATAATTCAAGTAATGAAAGATCATTTTTATCAATTGAATTTTGTTGATCATTTATTGATGAATATAATTGTGGTTCAATTGATTCGTTTGATAATATTCTATTATAAGTACATTTAATTTTTATTCGTAATTTTTTTATTGATGATACATCATCTAAATCAAGACGAAGTTTAACATAACGACGATTATTTACAAAACCATCATCACTATATTCATCACTGTCATATAAATCAACTTCATCTGGTACACGAGAATAAACAATTTGATTTTCATCACTAAATATAAAAAAAGAAAAACATTTTAATTATGACTAATTATTTCAATTTAAATTTCTAATGTTGATAAGAATGAGTAGAATTTTATTGAAGAACATTACACCTGATTGCTATCAAACTATGTTTTTAGATCTATGTGATTATTATTTAATTCAATTTAGCAAATTTCTAGCAAGGAAATATACCTAACGGTCGGACGCCATTCGACATCATATTAAATGTAAGACATGATCTCAGTGAGATTAACGAGGAACCTCTGTAGCTGTGTTCTTCTGAATCGATCCCTAAAACAATCTGGGTTTCTATTAATATGTCACTAAGCTATCGAGTTTTTAATATATCTATTCAATAGAGACAGCAGATTTTCGAAAAACTCGTATTTTCGAATTTTGTTCTAAAATTTTGTGCATATAGAGAACTCAATTAGGTCAGCTCTTATACAAAAATCAGAAGGTTAGAACTAGGTTTTATTCGAGACATGAAGCTTTCGAAAAAACGCATGTTGTATACACTACTCTTGGAAAAGGGTCTACATCTTGAAGAGACTATGTTGAAAACTTCTGAATTCTTTCCCGGGAGCTGATCTAGTTGAATTCTCTACATAAGCAAAGTTTCAGATCAAAATTCGAGGAGATCAATTTTTCGAAAACCTTCTGTCTCTGTAAAAATTATAGACATATTAAATATTTGATAGCTGACTCAAATGTCAATAGGAACCCAATTCCTTTCAAGGTTCTCATTAGAACAAAATATGCAGTACCTATTGGCAAAACACCGTTCAAATCTGAAGGAAGCAGCTAAATTGGTTTTCTCATAAGCCAAGCTTGAAAGGATTCAGACCTAAGGCTTACTGATAAAGAGTCATGACCGTTTTAAATGAAATCTTGCCTATAGGTACGTTTGATGGTTCTCAAAACTTCAACGAAACGACTTCGAAATTGAATATGTCGATAAAGATATTTTTTGTTTTCGTTGAAAGTTTCAGGCCTATTAAACGTATCTGTATGCAAAATTTCAGATCGAAACTCATTGTTTTGGATTTTTCGGAAATATTTTGCTCTCAAGAACAATGCTATTAAAACTTTCATAGTTCTTTATCCGTAGATCATGGGTCAGAATCCTGTCAAGCTTGACTTCGTTTCATCAAGATCTACTTGGAAATTTTTATATGAAGTCGAACGACGTCCGACATTTGAATATATTTTCTCGTCAGTAATTTTTTGAAAACAAAATCTCAATTTATATCTTAATCGACAGAACAAATAAATCAACAAAAAAATTTCATAAAACAATAACACTTGAAAAGTTTATCGATCGTTTTCATGATTGCTGAATTTTTCAAAATTAATAATACTTAAATTTGTTGTTGTTATATTTGACTATTTTAGAGGTTACTTTTCGGCACCAGTCTAATGATTAAATTAATTTGTTTATCATGATTAAGCTCCTTTTTTGTGCAATTTTCACCCTTTCAGCCCGTCTTCACTTGATCACCGAAGTGACAAATTTGTAGAACGATTACAGAAAATAAAGAAAACATTGGATTAAAAAACTTTGAGAACATATCTGATTGTGAACTTAATAAACTATCAATTGAAAAGAAAATACTTTATGCTGCATTGCTTCATCTTCGAAAAAAGATGAGTTACAAAATCACTAATTTTTAAACGCTTGTCTACCAACAAACAAATTATATGATGGAAGTGTACTGTGTGATATTCATATAACGATAACAATGTCTGTCATTGGTATCAATTCGATTCGAAAATTTCGCAGAAGCTAGACCGAACACAGACGAGTGACTATAAATATTCCACAAAGATTAACCCTTTGAATTTTTAGCGTCTACAACT